TACCTAAAGATGGAAAGGATGGACTCATTATTGAGATGATTTTAATAGCATATTAAATGAGCTTGTTCTTGAAGGTCATTCATGATGAAATAACTGTTGTAGAAGATGTTAGCAATTGTTCAGACATTTTGAAGCGTATAGATGAGATAAGAAAGAAGTTTATGAAGCCGCAACGCGGCGAGGACGAAGTCCATGAGAATGTTTATGTTTCATTGACTTTCTCCAGTAACGAGAACTTTTATGAGATAATATTGAAGAGAGATGATTTTAATATGGTGTAAATGGTAGCTTGGGCAGCTTTAGGCGCAATGGGAACAAAAGCATTAGCATTTGGAGCAAAAGCACTTGGGGCTTATGACGCAGTAAATAAAATGAGTGGAGGAAGAGTTTCGAAGACATTAGATGCAAATAAAGGAAAGATTGGAGGCTGGGTTGCAAAGAAGTTAAGATTAAATAAAATAGGGCTCATAAATAAAGCATCCAATTTGGTTGCGACTGAGTCAGAAAATGCTTTAGGAAAGGACGATGAGTTTGCAAAACACGCAAAAGACTTTAATGACCAGATGAAAGGTGAAACAATGCATTTAAATAGAGTCGATGGAACTCTTCCTCCACCAGTAGTTCTTCCGTATGGTCCCTATGGAATGTATGGAAATCCTTACGAAAGACCATTTGACCCATTGACTGGTGGAAGTAACTGGTATCATTACGGACGAAGAAGAAAGACAGTCAAGTTGGAGACAGACGTGAAGAAAGCAACTAAAAAGAAACCAAGGAAGAGAGTTATAAAGCAATGAATTCAACGGGGTGAAAAAACAGGTGAGAAAACGGGTGAGATGTCACCTAGCCGCTTTGCGGCTCTGACCCTTTGGGTCTCTTCACCTAAATTTATTTTTTCACCTCTGACAACGTTTATTTTTAAGTTTATTTTTTATTTAGCGAGAACGTTTATTTTTATGTAAATGACAGAACAAAAATATAACATTTCTACTCAGCAGGAATGAGACCCTTACTGACTATGTATTCGTTTAATGCTTGATGAAAACAATGGTACATATTATCGTATGGGTATACACAACGTCTGTTTCCATCGTCGTCGTATATGTAGAGCTCAAATCCAGTCCAACCTTCTTTTGTACAATATGTAGCTTTATTTAAGTATGCATTTATGTAGATAAGGCAATTTTCTTCATCGCTCCAGAAATAATTTTTGTTCTTTGTTGAAATAGTTTTCGTTCCTCTGCGACCATAAGGAATGTATGCAATGAACTTTGCGTCATAAGGGATTGTAATATATTCAGGGTTTCTTTCATCGTCAATGGGTCTGTCTTTGTTAAAATGCATGTTTCTCAGTTTTACTTGAGTTTTGAATAGTTCACGGAAACGTTCTGGGAAAGAGTCATAGTAAATGTAGTCGGACATGTCTTTGTAATGAAATAAAAAATTTAAAAAAAATAAAAATAAGGTTATTTTTTATTTAGTGAGGACGGTAGTGAATTCGTTAGTGAAGTCGTTTATGTGTCAGATGGTTTTGTAAATATTTAAGGTTAGGTTGGTGTTATGGTTTCGTAAAGTGTCAAAACCGCTAAGTCGTATACGGAGGCGCGCAGTGCCACAGTACACGACTTAGGGATACTAACTTACGAAACCGTTAACATATATTTTACAACACAAACGACAACACTAACTTAACATTAAATATTTACAAAGCCGCCAACCACTTCACCTCACTAACGTTTTCACTAACGACTTCACTAATGTAAAAATAAACGTTCTCACTTATAAAAGTATTGCAACTCCTCCCATTGCTGTGCTTCATATAACAGCTCATAATCTTCTGACTCACTTTCTTCTTCATATAGGTCAAAATCACTGTCATAGTTTATACCTGTAAGTTTTGACAAAGCTAATGAAACACGTTTACCGTTTGTATCGTATGCTTGTATAAACTTTCCATTATGCTTGTAGTCATAAACGCTCAAACTAACTTTACCCTTTCTCCCTCGTATCTGATAGAATGTATTTTCACGAGGAACGAAGAACAAATTCTTGAACTCATGACCGTTGTAGTTTGTTATCTCAATAGTTTTCGTCATTACATCCAAATAAAAATTTTCAGTAAAAATAAAACTAATGAAATATTTTATTCCTCACTGTCGTCTACTTTCTCCAACTCTTCTAACTTCTTCCTAAGTTTAGCAATGTTGTCCTCATGAAGTTTAATCTTTCTCAAAATTCCTTCTTTATCTAATGGTTGCTTTATCTTTCTAAACTGAACTCTACCATCCTTCATAGTATGAACGTAAAAACCTTCTGGAACCGCTCCTGATTTAATGTATTCTACCAAAAATTTTTGTTTCATTGCTTCAGTGACTTTAGTCGTCATTTTACTCTAAATAAAATGTTCAAATAAAATAAAACTAACATTATTTTTTCAGTAAGGAAACGCAGGAGTTTTACGATTTATTTGAGGCGTGGGTTCTGGTTTAAATGTTGGAGTCGGTTTAGGAGTTGACTTTTGAACAGGAGTTTGTACTTCCATAGGTTCAGGAGTCATTGAAGGTTTTGTTTGTGAAGGCGTTGGTTTTGGCGAAGGTGTTGGAGTTTGTTTAACTTCAGCTACTTCAGTATTATTTACAACATTTGCTTTATTTCTTTTCAACATCATAACTGCTCCTGCTGTAGCTAGCAAACCTAGTGGGAGACCATATCTTATATAAGGACTTGACCAAATGCTATTTTTGACAGGAGCTGGTGGAACACCTAACCTTGGTGAGACTGCTCTTTGCCATTGTGCAGCTCGTAAGAAATATTCAATAGGTGCTCCATAATCGTTTGGTAAAGTTTGTTTCACAGATGGTGAAGGTTCACGAGAGCTTGATGAAGAACTCATTTATAAGCTTTAAAAATAAACGTTCATCCTTTATTCCTCACTGTCGTCCGCTGCTAAGTTATAGTCGTCAAGTCTTATTATTGGTATGCCTGACTGTCTTACTTGTATTGCAAAGCAACAATCCCTCATAAATCCAATAAGTGGCTTTGGTACGTTTTCAGTTGCTAGTTCAATAGGTCCTTTAACAGACAATTTGTATGTTATTGGAGCAGTAGATGTTTGACCTTGCTGGAAGCAAAAGTCCACTTCTGTTGGAAAACCACATAAGAAATGTGTGTTGTCATAGCTATCCCATTTATGTTCCACACTACCATCATCCACCAATGACCTCATAACATCTTCATTAAATCCAATCATATCATTGTTTGTATTGCAAGCGTTCGCAACCATTTCATAAAATACAGGTCCATATGATTTTTCAGGTTCTGCAGGCATATTTCCATAAGCTCCCATGGAAAGCTGAAGATATTTAAACTTAGGGTTCTCAAAATTAACATAATAGTTGTCTTTCTTTCTAAATAGTGCCCAAATACTTTTAACATTAATAGGCGTATAAGCTGCTGTAAATGTTGCACTTGAACTATCTGTATTCTTTGAGAATGAACCGTCCATAGGAATCCAATCCATAACTTTAACAGGAAAACATAAAGCCTCGTTTGTATAATGTTCTACAAGTTCTGTATAAATGTTAGGGTCTAAAGAGAATGACTTTGGATGAATGAAACATTCATTAAAATCCATCTTTGTTCGAAATAGTTGCTGGTTACAGTTGTAATAGTAACTGTTCCACTAGCTTCTACTGCCTTCGTTATCATAGTGAATGGTTCATTCCATGGAACAAATTTATTTGTCGGTGGATTTGAATCTGAAGCAAATGCAACTTTAAGAGTTGGATTGAAAGCAATGATATCATTTACAGATATAGATGTGCATTGTAAGGCGTCGCTACTGAACTTTACTTTAAGCTGAATGTTTCCTGCAAAAGCTGGAATAAATCGAATAGCTTCTAATGGAAGGAATCTTCTAACAGGAATTCTTAAACGAAGCTTAAAATCAAATGATTTTCCTGCTGTAATTGGACCACTAACAATTTGTCCTGTTCTGCATGTTCCCGAATGACTCCATACATCTTCATGTCGAGTCTTTGAGAAAACATCTACTTTCTTTATTTGTTCGGTAGTTTGTGAGTTTGAAGTTATATATGCTTCTTCTCTTGCGTTGTCTTGAGAATATACGATACGACCATTTGCAAGGATTTGATATCCAGCAACTGCATAGAAAGCGTCATCGAAACCAATCCAAAATCCTGGTGGGTTTGTTTTATTGGAACCTGAACCAATTTCTTTATCTACAATAAATTGACCTTCCATTTTATACGTAATGAATGTATTGTAAAGGTCCAACATATTTTCACCAGGAGGTGAGAGATTGAATGTTACCCATGTGTTATCTTTAGCAGTTCCAGGTTGTGATGGAATCTTTGCGTCAGAATATTTTCTATTAGTGTCACCAATTTGAACTGCATTGTCTATGATATCGAAATATGAGCGAATCTGATGAATATGCTCTGCTGGAGTAAATTCGTTTAGCTGTTCGTTCTGCATGTATTTACTTCAGATAAAAATATCTATTTACTTCATTATTCTCACTCTTCTTCTTGGCATTCGTGGTGGAAGTTGTTTCTTGACATTTTCAATGAACTGTACATTCTCTTTTGTCTCAACTTCTTTCACTGGGGTCAGGGTTCTTTGACTCGGTTTGTTTTTCAATGAAATTCACGAACTTTGCAATAAGCTCTTGGTTCGTTATTGAAAGAACATCTGGCTTCTTTTCTTCTTGTTCTATTGACTTTTCAGTTTGAACAGAAGGTTTTATATGGGCTTCGTGGCTTCACCCTTGCCATGCACCTTAATGTTGTCGCTCTCTGCATTCGCTAATGGTACCTTTCTTTTTCTTACGTATATTTTACCATCTTTACTCTGACTTACGTAATAGAAAGGATGTTGTATTCCTCTGCGTCATTTAATATAATAGACTCTCGCTCTGATTTTGACAAGCTCATTTTACATCGGTTAAAGTTTTAATTTAGTTTTTTATCTGCAGTCAAATGACTCAGACAAGCCCTACGGACAAGACCCAAGGTGTCATAGATGTTGAAGCATTGAAGAAAGAAATTCGCGAGCAAATTTTATCCGAACTGAAGGAACAAAAACCAGAACAAAAGCCAGAGAGACCAAAGAGAAAACTTAGTGAAAAACAACTTGCTGCATTAGCTGCTGGAAGACAAAGAACCCACGTTTGCTGGCGAAAAAAGCTAGAGAAGAAGCAAAAGCAAAGAAGAACAAAAGTAAAGGAAGCTGAAGCAAAGAAAGAGTAAATGGTTTATTTTTATCCGAATTAAATGTATAGACAAATACCTTTATCTGTTGCGTTCAGTAGTGAAAACCCTGACGTCAAATAAAGGGAACAGAGTAACGTTTAAGTTTCAACAGACTGGATTGTGAACATAAATGAAGAGAAGTACATTGGCATAACATCTATGTATATAACACGTGCTTTCAGAAAGGTTGACTTTATTTCAAGTCGAGATAGAAAATGACGAACAGTCTTTAAGCGCCCAAAACATTCACATATACAAATACTTTAAAGACGATACAACATTGTTGCAATGTATGATTTCATTTAATGAGATGTTCGAGAAAAAGTTCAACATTGAAGTACAAACTTTACAGCCTTTACGTGAGTTTCTTGCACAACTGAAAGAAGAAGGTAGTCAGCCACAACTTATAGACTTTCATTATGAATTTAATGAAAATGAAGATGGAACTCATGACTGTCAATCATTGTATTCTCACCATTCAATGAAGTCGCTAAGAGAAAAAATCCATTACGTATAAGATTTCAAATCTCTGAACCAAGTGATGATTTTAAGAATGTTTTCAATTATGATGCAATGCTTCCGAGGAAAAATGAATTTTCAAAGATTGTAACCTGGCATTTGGGATAGAAAGCAAGCTATTTATATTCAAACTTAAGTAAGGGAGTTGAAAATGAGTTCATTGGTCATACAAGAACTTCACCACTTCCTAACCCTAAATACTATAAATTAACTGGCTTCAATCGTGAGTTTTGGATAGACATGTTCTCCACTCATGACCATAAATGTCCAGTGTTCTTGCCTCCAGACCATAAGGACTGTCTCTACATTGAAGCACAACTCTTAAACTCTACCATCGCAGTATTGTAAAATCTACGCTAGCTTTATTTTTATCACGAATGACCTCATTGCTGACAAAAATAAATGACCTCATTCATGACCTCATTCATGACCTCATTCATGACCTCATTGCTGACAAAAATAAGCCGCTAGCGGCAAGGGCGAAGCCCATGACCTCAGAACTTCAACTTACGAATAAAGCTTGTTTTAGTCGTTATTGAAAAGTTGAACTTTTCAGCAAAGCAAGGTTGACATGACTTACATAAGTCGAATGCAATCTCTTGACCATCATAAAGTGCTTTGTAAAGTTTCATTAAACTGAACTCAGAGTCTTTGTCATATGTTCCAACAGGTATGTGAATGTTCTTATCTTCATTGTAATAGCATTGTATAGCTTCAGGAAACATTTCATTAGCGGTTAAAGCAATAACATCTTGCTTCACGCCTTTCATTCTGCAGTGAAATGCAACTTCATTTAAATCGTTAGTGAGTAAGTCTATGTAGGTCTTCTTTCCACAGAAAATACTTTTATAAGCTAAACTTTGTTTTCCAGGTGTTATTTCTGCAAAGTCGCTATGAAATTGACCAAGGTTCTTTCCTATAAGTTCTCTACCGTATCTCTTCTTAAACTCTGCTGCAAGCTTTGGATGTCTTCATTATATAAGTGCATACTGTCGGTATCCTGGTAAAATATTTGAAGTCCCATTCCTCTGCAGTACAGAATACTTCATTCATAATACGTTTTGACATAGACAGAATATTAACACCAAGTGGACAGAAGTTAAAGTGTCTGCAAATGCTTTTCGTTAGCTTGAAAATAGTTTTATCTGAACCATCCAAACCTTCGAACTTCACTATATGGTTGTAATTTCTTATAGCATATCTTATAGCATCTTTGTCATTTACTATGGTTATTTTTGACTCAATAGGAGATAGAATAGTTTTGCCATAAATGCTGTTCAGAATGAGTTTTATAATTTCTTGTAAGGGGTTTCCTTCTTTCTTATACTTTAACCTTAACTCAAACAACTTCTTTACTTCATCTCTTATTCTCATATCTCTGTTTCCATCGTAATAGTATCCTTGCAACACTTCACATTTGACACCTTGATATTTTATGAGGTCTTGTAATGTTATATGGTCAACATACATGAGACAGCAAGTGTTTGAACTTCTTGGAACGTTAAGTTCTGGATTTAGTTCAGGGTCGCAAACTATTAAATGAAAGTGTCTGGGTATACCAATCTCTGTTATCTTAATGAGAACAAAGAAGCCAGACATAAACTTTTCACCAATGGGTTCCTTTTGGTCATCATCGAATAAATGTCTCATGAGATACTCTGTGCTTAACATTCTCCTTCAATACTTTTGGAATACCTTCTAAAGTATAAAGTCTTGCTATAGCTGAAGGATATAATGAAACAGTGTCGAAGTCAGCAATGAGTTTCTTTTTGCTCTTTTGTTTAATGTTATCTGACAACATACATCTTCCACCTTGAATGCATCTCGAAATAAATTCTCTTGGTTTATTTGAGAGGTCATAAAGATTTCCATTCGGGAAGTATACTCTGTTCTCAAACAATTTGTTAGCAATTGAACAAATACTAACGTAGTCATAAACGTTTAAATCAAACTCTTTCAATAAGTCATTGCGGAACTTTACAAAACCTTCTCTTAAAATTCTTACATCTTGTTTGCAGTAAAACGTGCTATATTTTTCTAAGTCGAAGTGGTTTTCATCTATTCTGCAACCTTTGATGGAATCTATGTTCTTCATAAATGTATCTGCATCATGGATAAACTTACATGCTTCAGAAATGACACCAGTTCTGTTGTCATTTGCTAACAAAACACTGCTGTAGTAGTTATATGGAAATACTTCTTTCGGTCCTGTTTGTAAGTTAAACATAGCAGGAAATAGTTTAAGCTTCTTATTTATAACACTGTAAGAGTCTTTTATAATAATTGCCCTTCCTTTATATAAGCCAGTTATTTGCATTGTTCGTGAACCTTTAATGATGGGAGTTCCTTTCACTTCTGTCATGTGTCTTAAGATGAAGTTTATGTCATAACTGAGGTTATGGAAATATATTAAACTCTTGTCAGGAAGTCTTTCCAAAAATTCTGTTGCACAGTTTTGACCCCAAATACTTTCACTCACTGAACCATCTTCACTGTCATAACAGATGTTAAAAGCTTTATGAAAGCCATCGGTACTACACTCAAAGTCAGCAAAGAAAACGTGCTCAGGTATGAACTTACATTTAGCTTTATTTACTTCTTTTGACTCTGCTTTCTTCTTCAGTTGTACACAATACTTTGGAGCATATGTCAAATCTTTAAATGGTGCAAGGTTCTGTTTATATAAGTCAGTAGTATATGTGAAAAGTTCTCCATAAGAAATAGGTTCGAAATATTTGCACTCCCACAATGTTTTCATAACATCCCATAACGGTGTTGTTCTATCATAACGAACTACATATTTGTTCTCTCTCTTTGTATATATTTTCATCTGTTTCTCAATGTTCATTCCACCACACTCCTTCAAGATTTCTATATAGTTGCGAATGAAGTATGTTGTCATTGGAAGTCTTTCATTTAGCATGTAGTGGTCTTCAACAAGAAGTAAGTCAATAGTTCGAACAGTTTCGCATTCTTTTGGTATATATCTCTTTATTTCATTATGTCTTGAGTCATTGAAGTAACCAATGGTAACATTAAATGCTATACCTGTTGCGTCAGAAATTTCTTGTACTTTACTTTGAGGAAAGTCTCTAACACGAATGACTTCTCTCATGTGGTCAATAGTTTCTTCATTTACTCCAGCCTGAATGCAAGCATAAACGAAACAATTGTCCTCTGTCATAAGTGTTGCAGTTCTTTTGTTCAGTTCATTGAAGATTTGGTAGCGTTCAAGATTTATAGGTAATGTGCAAAGATACTTCCAGAACTGACCGCTTCTCTTCTTATAAAACTTCTTTTCACCATTATCTTTCCAAAAGCTTTCTATAAGTGCTGGGTTTCCTGTTTGCTTAAGAGCTTCCAAAATGGCTTTCTGGTCATTTGTCAGTGTGCTTTCATCTCTATATGGTCTCTTTTTTGGTTTGCCTTTCTTTACATCTGACATCGTTAAGCCTTCATATTCTGTTAAATCATACATCTTTATTTCGGTAAGATTCTTTATGTTTGTCAAGAAGAAGTCATAGTGCATTTCAACAATACCTGCAGCATTTGCTTCTATCTCTGATATAAAGTTCTCCTTCAAGAGCTGATGTAGTAATGTTCCAATATTATTGAGGTTTAACGTAGAACATTCATACTTTCCACCAAGTTTATAACATACCATCCATCTCTGTTGCGAGTTTATTTTAATTTTCTCTAAGAGTCTCATGAAAACCTTACCGAAATGTTTGTGTAAGTAGTCTCTGTTTGGTTCATCTAAAGCTTCGATGTTAAAGTCAATGAGTCTATTGCCTGACTTCACATTTCTCTTCCTATTCTCTTCATCTTTCTTTAACCATCTCTCACCTTCTTTTGGTTTGTCGTCAATGGAACGAATGACATCGTTAGCTTTGCGAACTTGTTCTATAGCACTTTTAAACATCTCTCTTCTCTGTTGTTTCAGTGTGTCATCTCTCTTTCGTGTTTCACCAACGTTTGCATTTGTTATGTCAAACATCTCTCTTCTTACTTCATGAGGTACAGCTCTTCGTGTTTCACCAACGTTTGCATTTGTTATGTCAAACATCTCTCTTCTTACTTCATGAGGTACAGCTCTTCTTGTTTCACCAACGTTTGCATTTGTTATGTCAAACATCTCTCTTCTTACTTCATGAGGTACTGAACGTCTATGATATAAGTCAATAGCAACGTCATTTAAAGGAAATGCTCTTGCATGGACTTCGTCCTCGCCGCGTTGCGGCTTTATGAACTCATGAATTCTATCATAACTTATTGCACCATTATAGTCTTTAATGAAGTCAGCGAGTGCTTTTTTGTTTGTTGCGTAATGTTTTGCTACTTCTATGTTAGCTTCTGTTAGAAGTTGTTTTATTTCCGAGTGTTCTAACTTAGACAACTTCCGATACATCTTTAGTAGGAAATAAAAAAATATTTTTTGAAAAAATTAGATTAGATTTTTTAAGGCTAGTTTTAAAATATTTCGAACTTTTTATTTTAATGAAACACATGCAAGATTGCAAGTTCTTTTCATACAATGCTCTCGCTACTGCCATCAAGAATGAGTTTAATAATGCTTCAAATGTTAATGTTATCTTTAACAAGAAGTTTGTGAAAGAATCTAAGTTTGGTCAGTATGTCAGACCATTAGCTATTGTCATTGACCGCAAACGTTATACTTCACAAGAGTTAGCAGTAGTTTTGAAACAAAAGGGTTTCTTCGTGAATGTCAAAGATACTCATTATACTGTTATAAAGAACTCCAACATTGACTTCTTCAGTATTGCTATGAATCTTTCCGAACAGAAAGAATATAAGAAGGGTGAAACATCTGTGAAATATTATCCTTCATCTCTGAAGACAATAACGAACAAAGATGTTATACAAAAGTTCTTACCAAAGGTTGAAGAAGCTTCAATTGACATTGACGAAGGAAGTGAAATGGTTGAAGAAATTGACCCTGAAGCTATTTAACCAAAAATATATTTTTGGTGAAGAGGTGAGATATCACCTGTTTTTTCACCTCATTCTCTCTTCGTTAATGTTGTCGTGACTTCATTCTTCCTCTTTGAAGTTATCGAAATACTCTGTTATTTTTTCCTTCAGTAATGTTAAGTCTTCTTTGAATGTAAGTATTGTACAACCTTTGATGTCATAGTGTGTTTGAGGTAACGTATCTTGAACTATTTGTTTCACATCTTCATTTGGGGTCATTGAAATCGGTAAGTTTTCACGATAGAACCAGTTTCTGTCAGATTTATATATTTTAGCGAGGTCATAAAAGCTCTTGTTGTTTCTTCTGACTAAATGCAACATAACCATATCTTTATCTTCTTCATTTTCCATCTCTTCAGTATAAATCATATACTTATAGTTCTTTTCCTTACCTTTTGGTACCGAACGTGGTATTCTTTTCTGTATGCTTTTGTCTTTTGCATCAAGCTTGTTTTCCATCTCTTCACGTTCTTGTCTATGAATTTCGTCAAGAAGTCTGTAAATATACCAAGCATAACGAGGCGAAGCCCACATTGCTACAGCATTTACAAGAAGTCTATGTACATAATATCCTCTCAAACCGTTTGGCAATTTTTCACGATTTTCATAGAGTTTTGGCGACTGGGGTTTTTTACCTACTCGCTGTTCTTCACTGTTTTCAGAAAAAAGTATGTCTCGCTGTGCTTCGCTCAAAAGTTCTTGTGTGTTTTGGTTCCTAAACCAGTCTTTAGGAAGCTTAGTATCTGGAGCATAACATGCTGTCAAAATACTTTGCATTTGGTACATATCGTCTTTGACCGAACGAATGAGACGGAGTTGTTTGTTAAACTGAACCCACTCATATTCTTCATTTATAGCTTCATGGACTATAACTGTTGTTGTGTTCTCTGATGTTGTCATTACTGTCTTTACATACAAAATAAAAAGTTAGAAAAAAATAAAACTAGCGTTATTTTTTTTTGAGATAAACACTATTTCTTCACAACATTAAATTTTATCCTGTATGAAATGACTTTAAAAAGATTATTGACTGACTTCGAATACTATCTCATTGACGCACTGACAGACCCTCAAAACTGTGTTGAAAGTTCTTTAAGCTTTAAGATTGAAGGTACGACGCATTTTGTCTTCACTTACGTATTGAAAGAATATGACCGTTATCATAACGAAGTGAATCAAACACTAATAAAATTTGTAGATAAAAAATTGGTTAACAATGAATATTTTAAACGTGAAGACCCAAACACTGCTGGAGATGATGAAGAATACAGACAAGTTATTGAAAAAAATAACGCAAGATTAGATGCAATAGAAAAGAAGTTTAATGAATGTCTTACAAACACGTATGAATATCTTATGCAGTGGGAAGCCAGATGGAAATAAATTTACGTCAAATATGCAATTTATAAAATCTTATGTCGACAGGCTACGTAGCACAGTGGTCTAAGGTGGTGTTATGGAGGGGTCAGGGTCTGTGGTTCGAACCGCGACAGCGCCGTATTTTCTTATTTTCTTTGTTTGTCTTGTTTGTCGTGAATAAAAAGTGTCATAAAAGTGCTCTATCTTCCACGGGAATAAATAAAAAATTTACTTTATTTCTTCTTTATTTCTTTGTTCCCGTGGAAGAAGGGTTTTTGCCGTTTTTTCTCAGCCGAAATCAACGATTTTTTCATTTTTGGAATCCTTAGCAAATGAGGAATCTTTTCTCTCGTGGAAGCTTTGACCAAAAATATAATTTAGGTGAAAAAAACGGGTGACATCTCACCTCTTCACCTATAATATATTTTTGTCTGATTTACATCCAACGAAAAAGTTTAGAAGAATTTTCTTATTCTTTCTGGCATGTTTTTATCTTTCCAGTACTCCCGCTCTAATGGTCCCAGATGAGTTGGTTTAGATTCTCTCAAGTTCTTAGATGGTATAACATCTTCAACGCCTCCTTCATATCTTACTTTATAAGTGTCATCGTTTATGTTGTAGTCAAGTATTTCAATAACCACTCCTCGCTTTGCTTCGTCAATGGTTTCAGCAAGTTTGCCATTACTACTTTCGACTATTTTATGACGAGGGTAAAATGCTATGGAGTCGTCAGCAGCTTTTATAAGATATCCATTACCTTGCGTAGAGTCTACGATATAATAATTTCGACTTAACCTTAAACGTTTCTTTGTCAACGGTTTGTCGTCAAGAACTACACGAACTTTTGTTCCAGGAATGAGAGTAAATTGTGTTGAATTTCTGATATTTTGTGTTTGACTTCGTTTCTTTTGTATATACTTTTCTTCTTGTTGTTGTGTCATTGAATTTGGTGTATGTCCTGTTGTAGAATGTGTTGAGGAATTATATACTTCGATGAAATGTTTCATTGTTTCTTCGGTAAAGTCTCGCTCTTGATTTAAATCTCTGAGAGTCCTTATGAAGCGGTTAATGATACCGAGTATGTTATGGTTATGGTCTTCAGTAGTGTAGTGAGTTATGTTATGCTTAATGAGAAATTCTGTGATTTCGTTGCTGAGGTATGCACCGTCTTGGTCTGATGTTAAAGTACTTGGGCTATGTTCTGCTACAAACTTTTGTAAAACTCTTAACACTTCACGAGTTCCTTTATTTCTCATTATATACGCAAAAGCTTTGCGAGTGTTAACATTAATGAAGATGAGGAATGGTTTATGACCACATTTTCTGCTTTGAATGAGAGTGTCAAATTGGTATGCGTCAGGAGTGTTGGAGTAAATTGGTAAAAAGTAGTCGTAAGGGTTTATTTTTGTTTGATGTACAACATTTTTGTCAAAGAACCTTTTCACTTCAGCTCTGTTAGTAAATCCCGAACTCTTTGCAGCTTCATTGAACTTCTTAAATGACCTCCATGGATGTTGTTCGAATACTTCTTTCAAGCTCATTTATGTAAAGTTAAAGATTTTAACCAACTCGTATCCAAGCGTGCATTGTTATATAAGGAGGCATATAATCTTTTCCATTACCTGCTGGGTCTGTAATACCAGCTACAACATGTGTATGATTTCCTGCGGTTCCACAGAAAATACCTGTGCTTGAATCTACTGGGTCAGTTGAAATATCATATCTATGCATTCCCTGTCTATCCGAACCCGCTGCAAGATTTGTATAACCTCTTTTTGTTATTGAATGTGAATGGTTTCCTTCCACAGATGTTCTTCCACTGAACCTATGCATATGTGAAGGAAGGTTTTCAATACCTATTTTCTTTGAACCTCCCATCTTCATTGACTGCGTATTAGTGTAGAATGGAAAACTGTCAACTATTTCATACCATCTACCACCAAATAAAGTGTTTGGATTTATTGGATTCATAGACGTATAAACAGCTCCTATAGGATATATTAAATCATATATGCTCATAACTCTATAAACATATTCTAAAGAACTTATGTCATTAAATACCATTTGGAATGTATCTCCCGGATGAAATGTTGCATTTGTTCCACTTTTATAATGTAATGTTAGTTCAATAGAATTATCCAAGAAAAATTCAAAAGTATCTGGTTGAAGACCTCTAACAAATTCAAATGGAGTTGCTGGTTCACCATTTATAATTTCTGTTGTAAATGTCATTGTATCTGGTTTCGAAAATTTCTTTGTTAGTTCTGTATCCACATAAGTTTTGTCGGCTTTACTGTCTAACATTGCTGGTAGTTCATGTGTTTCAAAGTTTCTGACATGACCTTCAATGTTCATACATTTGTTATTTAAGGAGTTTAGTGTATCTTTTACGCTTGTACTTGGATTTTCTTGTGGAGCACTTGAGCCTAAAGTATAGTTCAAGATAATGTCGTCTGCTCTAACAGTAGTGAAGGATTTATGTGTATGGTTCTTGTCTGCTTTCTTGTCATATAAATCTTGAGCAGTGAATTTAATATTATGTTCATCCTTCATGACATAAACATCTTTACATCTAATGTTTCTCATCGTCGTTATGTCGTCATCCGATGTTAAACCTTGTGGAAAGTTAGGAGGTTTACAATATAATGCATCCCCACCAGTTTCTTCAACCGTTCCTTCAATACTTTCTATAGCAACAGTAGTGAAGGATTTATGTGTATGGTTCTTGTCGGCTTTCTTATCTAACATTGTTGGTAGTTCATATGCTTCAAAGTTTCTGGCATGATCTTCGATATTCTGCACTCTGTTATCTAAATTGTTTAGTGTATCTTTTACGCTTGTACTTGGATTTTCTAATGGTGCACTTGAACCAAGGTCAAAGTTCAATATTATGTCGTCTGCTCTAACAGTAGTGAAGGATTTATGTGTATGGTTCTTGTCAGCTTTACTTTAATGTAGCTTGAAGTTCATTTATATCGGAGATATTGTGTTTATGAGATTTCAAAACTTTGTTCGTTGCGTCAAGTTCATCTTTGTCAGCTTTACTTTTAATAGCATCTTCAAAAGTTATTTTTGCCTTAACTCTCAAGTAAATCTTGGTTCAACTAATACACCGTTAACAAAGAAGTATGAAGCATAAATTTCACGTTATAACCAAATTTCTGGTGCTTTACTGTGTCATACTGTACAGTACAGTTATGTCATAACCTTTAGCACGAATATTTATATCTTCTTTCATTAACATTTTTCGTCTTCACTTTTCATCCTGTGTTAAATATCCATGGTAGTCCGTTATAATCTGTTCATCTGAACTTATATAATGAACATGGTTTTTATCTGCTTTTTGTGAAAGAAGTTCAACAACTTTTGCTTCACTTATGTTACCAGTGTCACTTTCATTTATTTTTGTCAGCATTGCGTTCAAAACTTCATAAAGACTAACTACTTCTTTTGGTTCTTGAAACAATGAGTCAAAAGTCTTTCTTAACATTACATCTTCAACTGTTATGACTGAGTCAATACCTTTCTCTTTTATTGTCTTAGCTAACTGACCTAAAACAACGAACATATAGTCTAAAATATTATCTTCAGTGTTAAACACTATACAGTTTTCACGAATTGTTGTGTTTGTTGCTGTTAAAACTTCTTTAAACTCAGGATATATATTCAGTAGATTTTCAACAATTGTTTGAACCACTTGTCCTCCTTCATCTAAATCTCTTGCTGCCATTAAAGGATGTAAATTAATTGGTTCAATAATTCCGAGACGAGGGTTGTAAGCAAGTCCGTCGAACATATTTTTACGTTTGAGTGCCCAGTTAGTTAGTTTCTTTGTATTATATGTTACTTTACCCCATAAATTTTTGAGACCGTCAAAGAAACTTCCTGTATTTCCATGTAATTTAGCAAACTCAACATAAAACTTCATGCTATCTATGCCACCAAGAAAAGCCCAGAGTGCATCTATCTCACTTTGCATGGTTATAAGAGATGCAGTTGTTACACCTGATGAAAATAAAGTAAACAACCACCCTAACCAACTCTTACCTGCTCCACTTTGTTCTACTTTCACAAAATCACTGATATGACTTTTTAAGTATTCTTTCGTAAGTAATGTGTCTCCAGGTGTAACGTCTCTAACGATATTATCTCCGTCAAAAGTCAATGTTCTAACTTGTGTCCGTGCAGCCTTTATTTTAAGGCATGCATAGTCTGGTGTTTGAGGAGCAGAAGGCTCGATGTATGTAATTTTAAAGAAATCGTCATAATTTTTCTTAAAGGTTTCATATGTTGTTTTGAATGTATTGAACCTCATTATTATATCAAGAAGTTTTGTCAATGAGTCAGCAATTGCTTCATCTACTGTTGACGTTTTGAGTTTTATTTCTGCTGAGTCGTTTATGAATGGTACTTGACATTGAGTTGTATATGGGTCAAATCCTGTAGGACCCAAATGAAGCAAGTAGTCTAAAATATCACGAACAGACTTTGAGACAGTTGTGTCGTTCTTCATGACGATTTCACCATTTACAATGAATGGCATAGTACATGAAGTTATTTGTGGGTCAAAACCAGAAGGATTGAAATGAAGCATATAGTTCAGCGCCTCATACACTGACTTATACACTGTTTCATTATTTTTTGACACAATTTCACCATTTACAATGAATGGCATTGTCGAAGGAGTTGTTTTTGTATCGAACCCTGAAGGATTGAAGTTAAGAATGCTTTCAAGAGCTTCATATACAGACCTATAAACAGTTGTGTCGTTCTTCATGACGATTTCACCATTTACAATGAATGGCATAGTGCATGGAGTTAAAATAGGGTCAAACTTTTCATAGTCCTTCCATGTTATGTATTTCTCAGTATTTCCATCAGAAATAACAATATATTTGTCAGTAAGTGTGAGAGAGTATTGACCAAAATATAAACGTTTAGCTCTGTCAGCTTCATACGCATATGCAGCTATACTCATATTTTAATGAGAATAAAATGTTGTTCTATTTGCAAAGTACAGACCCAAACGAATACGGGACAGTAAAGCTACAAACAAACTTAGGTCTACAGAATGAGGCGCTTGCATTCAGAATGGTTGACTTCAATACTATCGCAACTTTTTATAACAGATGAAACAGATTTCATGGAGCTTGAAATAGATGGAAAGAAGCACGAAATAAGATTTCACAATAATGTAGAATATAAGATGGAAACATTAGCTGGAGTGTTAAATGCTCTCATAAATACTACAATAAACAAGGATAACGAAGAAAACTTAATGAATGTTAAACTTATTGCAGGAGTTTTGAAGTTCAGTTATGCAAAGGAGTTTAAGATAACACGAATGAGTCATAGAGTTCAATTGCTTCTGGGAGCATACCATATGACATTTCCTTTGAAAAGTGTTGACAAAACGATTGAGATGAAATCCGTTCCATACGTATGTTATGGCAATTGTTTGTACGTTGAGTCAAAAATAGCTAATGTCCAGGTATTTCAGGAGTTAATAGTAAAGGTTCAGTAGAATATAGTCTTTCTGTTATGAAGTAAATTCAATGTTATTCCAAACGTTCCTGTCATAGTAACTCATTTAGGTAAATGGGTTCGCATTAGTCCTCATAATTTGAAAGACATGCAATTCAGACTAGTTGACTTTCAAGGAGAGCCTGTAGAACTGAAGGCACCAGTGCGAATGACTGTTGAGTAGACTTTTTAGAAAATATTAAATGCAACAGCTTACAAGAGAACTCAGAGCTAAAAATATAAAGTATGAATGTTATGTATTAGGTCATGAACTTTGGTTGTTGCTGTTTGATGAAACAAATGAGTTAGTTATGTCAGTCAAGAGAACAGAAAAAGGCGTCAAAGGCGCCGAGCGCAAAGCGCTATATTGTGTTAGTGAGAACTGCACCAAGTCAATAAGATTAGGTTTGCATTATGAAGATGAGTTCGATACTGTTGAAGAAGTTTTGGATAGATACTATAAGTTGCTTTAATTTACTAAAACATATTTCAAACATAATTTATATTCTGTTGAAAGTTTTGTATACTCGTTCGAATATTTATACTTAAACTCAACTCCTGGAGTACCTGGTATTTCAATGATGCGGATGTTACCTATTTTCATGAATGGTGGCGTTGACCACAGCATTCGATTTCAGGGTCGAGATAGTCAATGACACATTGTTTCCCTGTTATTCGTGATATAACTTTTCAAGGTCTCCTTTGTTAGAATTATTTGGTTCTTGCTTATAAGATTTACCAAAAGCTTCTTATCGTCTTTGAGTAAAATTGTTTGGTATAACTGAAGAAGGTAATGGTCTACGTTATCTGAAGGATTTGTTTGAACATTTGTGTAAGGGTTGTCGTTGGCTTCTCTTGAAAGAATTTGGTCCAGTGGTGGATACTCTAACTTAACATCTGATGTAGCGTTAGCGTTTGAAGCTGAGTTTAAATTCACCGACTTAAGTTCTGGTTCTTTCAAACACTCTGAACTATAGTTCTTTATGACAATATTGTTTGTCGTTCGTGAGTCAACATTTGATGTTGGTTCAATTGGAACATTAACGGCACCAGCTAAGATGGATTTGCTTCTCATTTCATATAGAATAAAAACCTTTTATATGTATGAAATGAACAATATACTCGACAAGGGTTGAATGTAAAGCTAACGAATGAAAATATTGTTGAATTCACTGAGACAGGAGCTGTGTATAAAGATGTAGAACTACTGAACAAAAGAGCTAAGGGAAGAAGCAGGAACATGAACAAAGGTGGAAGCCTATAAAAATTTATGTCAATGATGGCTCAGGAGGTTCAAACATAAAGTATGCAGAAAGTTATAGAGTTTATGCTCTCAAAGGTGAAAAGCCTTCATTTAAGAACAGCTATTCTAACGCATATCCTCAAAAGTTAACGGATGGGGAAGTGGATGATATGAATGACAGCAAAAATATTAACAGAAATGGCGACAGAGATGCATGGAATTTGTTTACCATCAGTCAATTAAAGCATAAGATTTAAAACAATGTTGGTCGTTCCATGGAATATTTTTGACTTTAATGGTATTAGTCATGATATGAATCTCAAGGTATGAACGAGGAGAGATGAGAGACTTATATGCTTCCCAAATTTCTTCAAAAGGTAATGTTATACCTGACTGTTTCCAAATGAGTTCAATATCATAGCGTGAGAAACCTTGAAAGATAACGAAGTCAGTTATGAGACGTTTTATGTTTAAAGCTAAAAACCTCCATGTTTGCATAAGTATTGCTACAGTTAAATGGTAATGTCTGACTTTAGTAATGATGTTAGCTAATGGTGAGTCTGGTTTTGACACTAAACCTTTTCCGGCGAAGTCGTCACAAACGAGCAGAGTGTTTGATGGATATTTTTTGAAGGGGTATTTTGAAAGTTTTGATAGAATGTAGTTTGTCAGTCGTTTCATATCGTAAACTCCTGAGTATTGACGTAAGTGGTGTTTGTCAATAATTCTTTCCATCTCTTCTGAAGTCTTTTGCATTCCTGACTGTATAAATTCAACGATGGCATAATATTTCCTCTTACGTCGAATGTAACGTTGAAGAAATTCAATGAGTTCACTGTCTGGAACTTTAACGACAGAGGCTTGAACTTTTGACATAAATGTTTTCGCTGTTGAGTCCATAGAGTCTGAAGTTGCTGATATAATGATTTGGTCATAATATGAGTCATTTCCTAAACGTTCTGTTATGAGTATATGACGAATGAGATTAAATGTCTTTCCTGACCCCATCTTTCCACAATAGAAATAAACGCCATTTGAACAGAACTCATAGTCCTTACTGAAAGGAAGAATGAGAGAAGAGTTAAGTTTGTCTGTAGTTTCATTCATGTCTTCATCTACGTCATGTATTAAATGCTTCATTTTATCTCCATTAAAAATGCAAGTCAGAAATATTCAGAACATAGCACCGAGTCTAACTGACAAGAGTATAAAGATATACTATGAACACGTTATGATGAAACCTACCAAAATTCAAGAAAGTCAGTATACTTATGAATATCCAAGGCACTGGGTAGAGTATGTAGGAGGTGAGAAAGCTATTGAAATCAGACAAGTTAGAAGTATTCCAGCAGGAAGAACAATATTATTGAAGAACTTTAATGTTTTGAGATATAATGATGAGACAAAGAAGCAAGATAGTTTTCCTATTGCTGTGTATGTGAACCTAGACACAGGAGATGACATGAAAGTTTTTAATACAAAGCTTCAAACGGTAGTGAGAGAACAACTGACTGCGGAAGGACATCCATTACCTTCAGAAGTTACCATAGCATATAATTTTGAAACAAACTCAATAGATTTTAAAGTCATCTCTGCAAAGAAGTCAGGATTTACATTTAATGAAGCAGATGTATATTCGAATGAAAACTTCAAAGCTATTGCATGGTTAGATAATGACGATTGCTTTAAGAAAATATTTAAATACAGTGACTCAACGATGTCAATAGATGACCTTCGTGGAATGTTACCATCGACGTTTACAGTAGAAGGTTCAGCAGGATTGCTTACAAGATTGTCAATTGGTGGTATTTGGTCTCGTGAGAACATTGTTATAAAATCCAGTATAAGTGAATTTGCTGAAGAATCTATATTATGTCTTTCAAACTATATGTATTCGCCGCCGAAGCATTATAGTATAACAAACTTTGTCAGTAAGTTTAATATAAGACTTGTTGAACCTTCTTCAATGAAAGATGTTGTGCTACCTAAAGATGGAAAGGATGGACTCATTATTGAGATGATTTTAATTGCATATTAAATGAGCTTGTTCTTGAAGGTCATTCATGATGAAATAACTGTTGTAGAAGATGTTAGCAATTGTTCAGACATTTTGAAGCGTATAGATGAGATAAGAAAGAAGTTTATGAAGCCGCAACGCGGCGAGGACGAAGTCCATGAGAATGTTTATGTTTCATTGACTTTCTCCAGTAACGAGAACTTTTATGAGATAATATTGAAGAGAGATGATTTTAATATGGTGTAAATGGTAGCTTGGGCAGCTTTAGGCGCAATGGGAACAAAAGCATTAGCATTTGGAGCAAAAGCACTTGGAGCTTATGACGCAGTAAATAAAATGAGTGGAGGAAGGGTTTCGAAGACATTAGATGCAAATAAAGGGAAGATTGGAGGCTGGGTTGCAAAGAAGTTAAGATTAAATAAAATAGGGCTCATAAATAAAGCATCCAATTTGGTTGCGACTGAGTCAGAAAATGCTTTAGGAAAGGACGATGAGTTTGCAAAACACGCAAAAGACTTTAATGACCAGATGAAAGGTGAAACAATGCATTTAAATAGAGTCGATGGAACTAAAGAAAATGTTTCTTCTCCACCAGTAGTTCTTCCGTATGGTCCCTATGGAATGTATGGAAATCCTTACGAAAGACCATTTGACCCATTGACTGGTGGAAGTAACTGGTATCATTACGGACGAAGAAGAAAGACAGTTAAGCTGGAGACAGACGTGAAGAAAGCAACTAAAAGGAAATCAAGGAAGAGAGTTATAAAGTAATGAGAACGTTTATGTTATGAGAAATTTTTAACGTTAGTTTTATTTTTACTGAAAATTTTTATTTGGATGTAATGACGAAAACTATTGAGATAACAAACTACAACGGTCATGAGTTCAAGAATTTGTTCTTCGTTCCTCGTGAAAATACATTCTATCAGATACGAGGGAGAAAGGGTAAAGTTAGTTTGAGCGTTTATGACTACAAGCATAATGGAAAGTTTATACAAGCATACGATACAAACGGTAAACGTGTTTCATTAGCTTTGTCAAAACTTACAGGTATAAACTATGACAGTGATTTTGACCTATATGAAGAAGAAAGTGAGTCAGAAGATTATGAGCTGTTATATGAAGCACAGCAATGGGAGGAGTTGCAATACTTTTATAAGTGAGAACGTTTATTTTTACATTAGTGAAGTCGTTAGTGAAAATGTTAGTGAGGTGAAGTGGTTGGCGGCTTTGTAAATATTTAATGTTAAGTTAGTGTTGTCGTTTGTGTTGTAAAATATACGTTAACGGTTTCGTAAACTGTCAAATTCACATATCAGGTGTAAGGTGGAACGCAGTGCCTCCGTACACATGATATGTATACTAACTTATAATAAATGTCAAAAAAGTGAACAAATAAGCAAAGATATTTTTTAAAAAACAATGAAAAGTAATACTTAAATGAGGAATTCTTTGAGATATTGGTCTTAGATTGAATGTAGCGTCATTCTTATATAGAATATATATTCATATCATCGGAAATATGATAAAAAGCATATAATAAATGTCAAAAAAGTGAACAAATAAGCAAAGATATTTTTTAAAAAACAATGAAAAGTAATACTTAAATGAGGAATTCTTTGAGATATTGGTCTTAGATTGAATGTAGCGTCACAAATTTCACAAATATAATTTACTATACAATTTTATTCATTTTTTTAAAATGGCTGACGACAGTCTGTATCAACTAACTCAACTAGTCAAGCATAATGATTATTCTTCGGATTCATTAAATCAACTTTATCAATGCATAAGTACAATGACAGAAAGATCAATTGGATGCTTGAATTGGGATAAATTTTTCAAAAAAATCACAGTGACTGATGAAGTTCTTTTACATTTTTTTGCATCCGTTTTAAACATTGAAAAGATATCAGAATGTTTCAAGGATTCTATTTTTTATCACAATATTAATCTTGAAAAATTCAGTAATTTAACTGAAACAGAACAACAAACAATTTTAAATTCCTACAAAGCGGATAAATTTACATATTACATAATGTGCTCACAAATTGTAAAATCAAACTGGAACAATTTATCCCAAACTTTAGTTAATATTGCAAATCAATATTTGCCATTTTTAGATGAAGAAAAGCAAATATATATATTTACTGAAATAACTGGCAATTATCAAAATTTTGAAATTTCAGTTGCAAACTTGTTACTTTTTTATGAAAACAATGAAGAAAAATTAAGCAACTGTTTTAATTTAACATTGTTCCAGCAAATTTATTCCAAAAATGGAATCGAGCAAATGATATTTTTTGCTGCAAATACAATTTGTTGCAATAACACTTCTATCAATTTTTACAATCTCCTTGTGTTGTAAACAGAAATTCATCAAAAGTGACACCTCAGAAAAGCTAAAATATTGAATTTTTGGAACTTTTGATAGAGCACGTTTTTAAATATTAATTAAAGTAAATGTATATTTTGTAAAGATTCTTTTTAATAAAAAAATAAAATTTTGAAGAAGAACACAAAATCTTCTGAAAAATAATATCACATAAACTCATATTATTTTCTAATATAAACTATTTTATATAAAAATCAAATTCAATGATCTTAAAAGCGAAGGATAAACCTCAAAATTTACGAAATATAATGAGTGGGAATATAATGCTTATCTATCATAAAACCATATGAAATATCAATTTTTGCTTTACGCCTAATTTTTGACGACAATTAGCAAAAAAATGTTAAATGTTAACACTCAGTCCATTTGAATATGAAAAATAAAATTGACTTTGATTAAATGTTTTTATTTATCATGCAATTCTTCTTGCGACCAAAGATTTGAATAAAAGTTCAAAAAATAAGATAGCTTAAAAAATAATATACGGTAGTGTTTACTAATAGATGAATAGTATATAAATTCTATTAAAATGGATTTGATCCAAAAAAATATAAAACCAAAAATAATTGTTATAATTTAAATGAAGAAGTAATTTAAAACGATTTTATTTATGATCAAATTTTATATATTTTTTTGGATCAAATCCATTTTAATAGAATTTATATACTATTCATCTATTAGTAAACACTACCGTATATTATTTTTTAAGCTATCTTATTTTTTGAACTTTTATTCAAATCTTTGGTCGCAAGAAGAATTGCATGATAAATAAAAACATTTAATCAAAGTCAATTTTATTTTTCATATTCAAATGGACTGAGTGTTAACATTTAACATTTTTTGCTAATTGTCGTCAAAAATTAGGCGTAAAGCAAAAATTGATATTTCATATGGTTTTATGATAGATAAGCATTATATTCCCACTCATTATATTCGTAAATTTTGAGGTTTATCCTTCGCTTTTAAGATCATTGAATTTGATTTTTATATAAAATAGTTATATATTAGAAAATAATATGAGTTTATGTGATATTATTTTTCAGAAGATTTCATTCTATATTCCTATGAAAAGTACTCTCAAAACTAACTTTTTCCTAATTATAATTAAATCTAGAATATTGTATTATGCTTAGTATTATTTCATTTTTCTCATTCAATTTAGAATTTACAAATGTCAAAAAATTGAGAGCTGTCACTTTTGATGAATTTCTGTTTATTACACTTGAAATTGAAGAAATGAATCCATTTGATTTTTTTATTTCTCAATTCAATATAAAGAGATATTAAATTGCGATGATTTTCCAAAAGTTACAGAAGTAATCACAGGTTTAATCTCAGCTTCAAATATTAATGCTATTATGCGAATTTGCCAAAAAATTTTGGATAAAATTACATTTTATAAATGTAATTATTGCCATATTACCTCAATATGGAATTTTATCACAAATGCAGCAATAATTCTTCCTGATGAAGATTTATTAATCAAATTATTAAAATTCATAGAAAAAACAGAAAAAGCAACAGATGAATTATTCGAACCGGAGAATGATTTGGGTTTCTATGAATATTTAAATTCGATTTTCTCAGATATTACATCTGCGAGAAATAAGCAATTTCTCTTGGAATTTCTAAATACCCATGAAGATGACTTCACTTATGATCAAACATTGTGAGGTCATTTTTGATCAACAAATTAATTGAAATTCCGATCAAAAAAAATTCACAAATTGGATCAAAAAAATCGAATCTCAAGTTAAAAATAAAAAATTTCTACATTTTTATCAAATTTAGATTTTTTTTTCAAATCATGCGAATTGATTGAATAATTGCATATTTTATCCCATGCATCTAGAAGTATGTGTAATATTTTTGCTTTCATCAAGAAATTGTCGAATTTGATCTTAATTTTTTTTGAAAAATATACTTTTAGAAAAAGAAATAGTGATTGAATAGCTGCCCATGCTGTAAAAGGGTTATTTTTACAAGTAAAAAAAATTGTTATTTTTCGAGCAAGTCGAGGCTTTTTTACCATCTTATTTTTGAAAAATTTACGAAAAAGTATATCTGAAAAAACGCTTCATTTTGATATCTTACAATGATAAAATACCAATGTTGCTGGGATATAATAGCTACACCTGGACATCTACTACATTAATGCGTATGACAGGTAAAGTTGATTTCAAAAGTATAGCCTGGAAAGATTACAATAAATCAACGATAATTCAAAAAAATTTCTTATAAGTTAACATAATAAAAATTTAATTTTTATATTGCTTGTATTATACTTAAGTATATAATATATTTAAATCTTAGAATGAAAATTCGGGACGCCCTAGCTATTCAATTTTCCCTTAGGACGCCCATAAACCTCTCAAAAATGTGATGTAAATATCACAATTTTGAGAAATTTACACTAGGACGCCTTAGGACGCCAACCCCCTTTTTTACCAGAACATTCGAATAAATCAATATTCAAATTTCTAAATTCGTGATCAAAATTTAATCAAGATATATTAAACAAAAGTTAGAAATGATGATTCGAGAATTTGATCGTTGACGTGAGAGCAAAAAAACGACAACCAAAGAAATAAAGGATTCATTATATAAAAAATATTGAATCAGTAGTATATATTTGTGTTCCTGTTTTGTTGAAGTGAATTAATTGATTTGAAATTTTCTGTTACCTTACGGGAAATTTGATAAGAAATTTTACTTAGTTCTCAAATAATTTTTCGATTAAATATTATTGTCCATATATTTATTATTAAAATAAACGCAAAAGAAGTTTTTTGAATTTAAAGGTATCTTGTATTTGTTTTGATATATAACTTGTAATATCAATGATTTTCGACGTGAAAATAATTTCATCTGTTTCAATTTTTTAAATTGAATTCCAACGAGTAATTGTTTTTATTATCAGTTTAACCAATACTTAATTGGAAATATTAATTCGAGTTCGATAGAAATGATTATTTTTTGAAAGTCAATATAGGATGACGAATAAATAATAAATTTTGAATATTTTAAATGTACTTCCTATTTTAAACTGATAGGAGTTGCAAGGAGATATTTTTTCAGAAGATGTTCAATAATTGTGACAAACTGCTATACCTATTCAAATGTGCTTCTTAAATTTTGTTAAGTTTGAATGTAGTTACGGGAAGTTTGAATACTCAAATTGCTCGAAAGTGACAACTTCATTCAAAAAATGATTTCCAAATCTAGTATTGCTATGTCCGACAAACCAACTCAGTACAGAACCCTATTCACAGAGGAAGAAGATCGCCTTCTCAGGAAGTTAGTAGAACAATATGGTGAAAACCAATGGGAGTATCTTAGTAGACAGCTTGGAACAAGATCATCCCGTCAATGCAGAGAAAGATGGACAAACTACCTTAGTCCCAGACTTTCACAGGGCCCATGGTCAAGAGAAGAAGATAAACTTTTGTTCAATAAAGTTAAAAAATATGGTAAGAAGTGGGAATTATTAGTTAGATTCTTCCCAACAAGATCGCGCAATAACATTAAGAATAGATATAACACAGTAGTTAGAAAAGGACTTGGTCTTGGTTTAGAAGTGACAACTGTTGAAGGATTTATCTTATCTGCAGAACGTGTAGAATCAAGAAATAGACCTGCCACAAGTTCTAAAAAGGATATCAATCTTAACATCCCTCAACCTAATCCTATTGAAAAGTATTCCATCCAAAACTTCCTTATCTAAGGACCTCACTGTGTTAATTCAATATGTTAGATTGTTGTTATGTTATTTATACTATAAACGTTAATTCATTCCGTTTTTAAAAAATACCATTTTTTAATATATAGGTAACCTTTAAAAAATATATGCGATCTAAGGTTATCCGTACACTATCTGACCGAAATATTAAATGTATAAAGTGAATTAGAGTTTATTGAAACCTCCGATTTTTATCGTTGAGGATCATGGCTTTCTAATTATCGAATGTATCAATTTATGATATATAAATATTCAATTTGCCATTCAAAATGATTTACTCTTTAAGATTTTGCACAAAATAAATTACGATCAGCAGTTAAGTGAATTTATGATTAGATTGCATATCTAATGATGTAAATTCTTATGTCCAAATCTTTATTCTAACTTACCTATAATTATAAATCAATTTCTATTCAATTAAGTTAATCATATCATCTTTGATATGAATTTATTAGCACTACATTCTTTCAGGGCGGAACCAAAGAGATACAGAGGATTTGAACAAAGCTGGATTTTGAAGCTAAATATTGCTTATTCTTTTATAATATTATTACCTTGATAAGTTTAAAAACATATTTCTAATCGCTCTTATTGATTATTGAGTTAAAATTTCATAAGTTCGAATATGAGCTTTGAAGTGTCAGATATCGGCATAGACAATATCACGCTTCTCAAAGTTCCTCAGAGTGTGAAATTATTAAATATTTCTTTCTCTAATATTCATGACTTAGTTGGATTTGATTTTCATCCTAATCTTCAAAAATTTATTGCAGATTATTCCAAAATTGAAACTCTAAAAGGTTTTAAATCAATAAGCAACTGTTATTCTGTATCTATGAAAGAAACTCCAGTATCAAAAAAGAAAAATTTTATATTATCTCTTGTAATTTTATTTGGCGAAAGTTTAACAATCGTAAATGGTGCTTATGTACCAAATAAAATACGTTCACAGGCAAAAAAATATCCCGAAATTGCTAAAAAACTTATTAACGCAGGTTGGATTGCTCAATACCCTTGTCCTAACCAAAACGAGTTTGAATCATTAATGAATCAATACGAAATAGAAAATAACGATGTTACATTCACAGAACTTGATATATCTAATCAGTCAAACGATTTTGAGTTCGAAGAAGAAGAAATTGAAGAATTTGATACGGATAAAGTACTACAAGAATACATACTAATGGAGCAGAAGGTATTTTTAAAGACTTTAGAACAGGCTGAAGATTTTTTGGAAAATGAAATGAAAGACATTCCTATTCAGGATAACATTTTCACTGAAGACAGTATAAGGATGTCGAAATCAGCGAAAAATATGAATGGAAACTTGTCAGATAATAATGAAGTCTCATTTCGAGATAAAATACAACTTATTCTTGCATCATATGGTCATGAAGTTGACCAAAATAAGACGTCACGTTCAATTCTAGAAATTGTTGAAGATTTGCTTAAAATGCGGGAAGCTATCAATAGAGTTAAACAAAATCAGACTGAAAGCCAAGAAAAGAGTGAAGATACTGATACGAAAGATACTAATGAACAAAATATTTATGAAGATGACAAAGCAATCAAAAGTACAGCCACGGACTTACCAAAAGACATTGATCAGATCTTGAAAGATGAAAATAGCGATGAATTTGATTTTGGTTATGATAATGAAGAAGAAGACTATTTGCGGAACTCAGAATTTGATTCTGATGGTGAAGAATCAGAACCACCACTAACTGAAGAGGAGTTAGCACTTGCAAATCAGGAGATTAAAAAATATGAGCTTAAATAATATTGTAATATGCTTTATTTTGTAAAAATATCTGTTTATTAAAAAGATTTAGATATATACGTAGTTGTTTATCCAATGTTATTACCTATTCAATTGAACGAATTTAGAAATGATAGATATATTGTTTGTTGAGAGATGTTCACAATTATGATGAGAATAATATGAAAATATCAATGCATAATAAGACATTTCATATAATATATGATTTGATTTATCAAATCCAACCAAAATGATTCGATAAAATCAAATTTTTATCTAACACCAACAAAAATCATCAAAAAAAATCAAGATTTTAGGAACATTCTACAGAAAGAGTTTCTTATTTCTTGATTAAAAAGCTTAATCTCATGAAGATCGTCATGAATATCCACATTCAAAATTCAAAGATATACAAATTGGACGTTTTTGCAGAATTGAAGATAGAATTAACAATTAACATTTCTGTCTGCTTTATTGTTGAAATATCAATGTTGGAACCGTATTCTGTTGCCGAATAATTTTTGGAAAATCACCGCTCAAGAATTCTTCTTACATTTTTTGAGCATACACGTAGTAGGCTAAGAACGTGAATAGTTTTTCAAGGAAAAAAATTCGAGAGATGGGGGCAAAAGTGACGAGTTCGGTTCTAAAAATGATGGGTCACAATCAGATATAAACATCATTTAATTCAAAGATTATAAAATTACGATATAATGTATCTTAATGCGTGATAGATTAGAAGCAAAATAGTGATTGATTTTAAATCGAAAAATAACTAAGACTATTTCATATTGTAGATTTGATCTACAATGTCTCCTCAAAATGGGTATCATAAATATCATCCATGCACTTTGAATGAAGGAAAAAAGGATCAAATACCCCTTTAGATTTGGATTTGGCGATCATAATTAAGGAACAGAAACAGGCACTATATAAACTATATATTGGTATTAGATTTGTTCGGTTTACTCTATTGCAAACATATCTTTTCGTCCTGAAAATTTCAATTCTCTAAAAAGTGCAAAATTGAAACAAATTGAAAGAATCGTGTTAAAACGATCATATATTGTTCATCTAATTTCTGAACGAATCGAACAAGAAAAATCCATTTGGCCACATTCATTTGAGAGAATAATAATCGTACCTGTTAAAATTTAAAGGTGTTGGCTAAACTCCCTCAATTTTTGATAATCGTTGCGAGCACCTCACATTTACAAGAAGAATGCTCGCAGGCGACTTCTCTCGTAACCTCCACAAGCCACTCCTTTTCATCGACAAGGACACCAAGGTTGTTATCCAGGGTATCGGTAACCAGGGCCAGTTCCACTCCCGCCTTATGCGCCAGTATGGCACAAAGGTTGTTGGTGCTGTCCATCCAAAGAAGGCTGGCACAATCATTGCTGGTCTCCCAATCTTCAAGAACATGAAGGAGGTTGTTAAGAGAACAGATGCTAATGCATCTCTTATCTTCGTTCCAGCTCCAGGTGCTGCTGCTGCATGCATTGAAGCTGCTGAAGCCGGCATGGGTCTTGTTGTCTGCATCACAGAACACATCCCACAGCACGACATGATCAAGGTCAAGAAGGTCATGAAGGAAACAGGCTGCCAGCTTATCGGTCCAAACTGCCCAGGTCTTATCCAGCCAGGCACACACACAAAGCTTGGTATCATCCCAACAAACATCTTCAACAACGGTAAGATCGGTATTGTTTCCCGCTCCGGCACACTCACATACGAAGCTGCCTACGCTACAACACTCGCTGGCCTTGGTCAGTCCACAGTTGTCGGCATCGGTGGTGATCCATTCGCAGGCCAACTCCACACAGATGTTGTCAAGCGCTTCGCTGCAGACCCACAGACCGAGGGTATCATCCTCATCGGTGAAATCGGTGGCACATCCGAAGAAGATGCCGCTGAGTGGATCGCTAAGACAAAGCTTACCCAGGAGAAGCCAGTCGTCGCCTTCATCGCCGGCGCTACAGCTCCACCAGGCAAGCGTATGGGCCACGCTGGTGCCATCGTTTCTGGCGGCAAGGGCACAGCTGAGGGCAAGTACAAGGCTCTTGAAGCAGCTGGTGTTCGCATTGCTCGTCACCCAGGTAACATGGGCAAGTTCATCTTCGAGGAGATGAAGAGAATGGGCAAGATCTAAAGTTTCCATATCTTATTAAATCGATTTTGAATGTTCAAAAACTTTTTTTCTTACAAGTCAAATACTCTAAACATTTAAACTCTAAATCTTCCATAATCCGCTTTATCCTTAGTTTTGCCCCATTTTGATTAATCTTTCCTTAATTTCTAAATATATTTTTGATTTGTTAATCAAATTACACTTCTGTAAGTAAGGATTATTAAAATACATGTTCAATCTAAATGGGATTTGTCCTCTCAATCTAAAATTAAGCATGATATTGATGGAGGATATCAGATAACTATATTTGACAATGCCTTTCGCTAAGAATATCAATAAAAATGTCTATTTAGTGTCATTCCCTGCTCCATGAATATTAGCATTTTTTGCCAATTTTGATAAATTTCTAAAGATGATTTTAAAAATTAAAAAAAATTCTTATTAAAAATCGGATTTCAAATATTTTTTGGAAAGTCAAAAACTACAATTACGTTCTATTATAGAAATAGTGTATATCTATTTCACCAAATTTGTCTCAATATCAATTTTTGGGCCAGAAATGAGTTGACCATCTAACTCTATCGGCGTTTTGACAACCATCTAGTAAATTTCCGCTGCTGAGCGCTGCGTTGTAAAGTTACGCTGTGTGATATTTGCGGAAAACAATTATTCAGACATCTTTCAGGAGGCCATGTGGTCATGGTCTATGCTCCGGTGTCTGCACATTTCCTTATTTATTTAGCGTTATATTTTTTATTATAATCTAATCATGCGCAATGAATTATTTCAATGAAGCAAACAGAATTACTATTTATATATTAATCAATTAACATTATTATTTAAAACTCATTATTTTTTTGCCAATATTAGCTTATCTCATAAATTTCAAATTGCTTCATTAAATTATTAACATAGCCATTGTTTTACTTCCTTTTTACTTTCAAATATTTTGTTTCTGATATTTTATCTAATTTTAATCAATTTAGATTATGCATAATAATAGAAATGATGCATTGTTTTGTGTTATTGCTTTGTTTGAGTTAAATAAGAAAAAAAAAATTTTATAAATATTTTGTAAACGTTTAACTAATTTCTTTATTTGAAACAATGGTGAGTCGATTTTATGGCTTTTCAAGGGTATTGCACTTGCTGATTTCAAAATTCAAAAAAAAATTTGGTTTTCTCAAGCGGAAAATCGGATATAGGAACCTTAGAGTTGATCTGTATTATAAACATATGATATTTTCCAACAATCTAAAGGAATGAGTTCAAAATCTTTATGATAAATCTTGAACGATAATTTTGCAACGATTATTTATTTTTTTTTTCATTACTGTGCCAAGTTAAAATCCATTTGCTATGCTCGTTGTTCATCAAATTTGTACCTTAATAGCTGAATTGGCAGCAATTTTTCTCGTTATATTTGCCAGTATTGGCGTTTCAAATATTTCAAGCGATAATTATTTTACATCATGCACAGTAAATTATAAAATAATGTTTGGATTTGGTATAGCAATAGGTTTAGTCTCAATGTTTATAGCCGCTATATTATTTTGCTTTACAGGAGGTGGAGCTTGCGCAGTTTTCTTTTTCTTCATCTTTACAATACCTGGCATACCCTTTGTAATATTCCTCGGCTCTCCAAAATATTGCCTCAATAACCAAGAAGACTTTTGGTTAAATAATACAAATGGAATTCCTGAATACCAAGTAAAACACCGCTGTTGCGGCTGGGAAAATAGTTCAGATCATGCACTTCTATCTTGCCCGTTTAGGTTCGAGTCTGGGTGCAAAGAACACGTACAAAAATACTTCGATACAAAATTTAATCATTTGTTTGCGGGACATATGATATCGCTTATAGCCGGCGCGGTTTCTATTATTACTGTAGCTATTTTAGAATGTTGTTGTTTTGGGGAACTCTCTTAAGTAAATGTTTTTGTTTTTATAGTACTTTCTGGGGAATATGATGGGAGTACATCTCCCATTACTACGTAATCATCTTTTGGCCTTGTCATGTCTGGATAATCTTTTAGATGGATTGGATTAAGGATTCTTTGAGCACAACTCTTACGTTTCGGCCATTTAGATGAATTTGTAACCGGCATTTCGAATTCCATCGGTCCATATTTCTGTGGCTTTTTAATTTGTTTTTCTTGATTTTTCTTTGGAGAAATATTTGCAGATCTAGACAGATAAGGAACACGATTTGGTGATTGAGCAGGCGATGATCTTTTTACATTATGTATCATGTTAAAAGAAATTTGACTTTGTTTTTTATATTCTAAGTTTGATTGAGCTCTCTGCTCAGAACCAGCCTTTAAAATTTGATTAAAGCTTTCTGACTCTTCTCGTATATGTTGTATTAAACTAAACCATTTAGCTGCAGCAGGAACTTGAGGTTGTTGCATAACGTGAATAAAAAGTGCCAAATTTTACACTCAATTTAAAATCATTAGCGTTATTTACTTTAATAACAACAAATTTCTAAAAACTCCATTAGAAATCAATTAAACGAGCCAATTTGAAATGATTTTACGATGACATTCTGGATGTCAATCAAATGGAGTATAAAAACATATTCTAAATATATTGTGCTTTATTTTCCAATAGGAAATTTCAGATAAACTAATAATATAAAAATATTTATCTTCAAATTTTGAAGATCTCAATAAAATTTTTATACACAGACATAGTCCAGTTGAAATTTGAGCTATTTGTTTATATTAGAAGCAGCAATAAAAAGTATACGTTTAAAAATTTTCACTAGATTTCCATGAATACCCTTTCAGATGCTGATTTTTTCAAGAAAATAGGAAACATTCTTGAGGATTCTCCACCTGAAGCAATAATCAAAGATCCGGAAATCTTGCAGCGAATTCAAGATTGCATTTTATCTTTCGAACCACTTGAAAATCTTCAAGCATTACAGTTTTTACGAGCATGGTGCAGAAAATTAGCGATTAGAGTAAAATTAGAAAATGACAATAGAATAAATCATCAAAATTCATCAGATTTATCAAAATCTTTCAAAAATATGATTGAAAGGTTCACAACTACATATGCAAATCTTACTATTTCTCTCTTTAGAAAACCGCCATTACTTCCATTAGCAGTTTGTACATGCAAGGAATTATTATCCATCACAAATTCTTCACCAAGCGATGATATTATTGAATACTGCCTAATGAATTTATCAAATAAAGACGTGAGATTACAATTACTTGGTATTCTTGCAAATTCTAAAACGGTTATCGACGAATTACCAGTTTACGACCCTGAAATAGCAATTCAACATCCATTTCTACATAACCAACTAGTGAATATTTCTCCACCAGAAGTACAAGGAAATATAAAGACAATTCGAATGTTATATAATCAAATACAAAAGATTAACCTCCAAGAAGGTAGACCAGACCGTAACTTACTAGAATATTGCGATTTTGAAAAAATCTTTGGAATTGTAAGTAATGAAATTTTGGCTTCTCATCCTTCGTTAAAAGTCCGAAAAGATTTTTATAATCAAGTCATTAATTCACAAGTTAACGTTACAACTTTCTTAAATTCACTTTTAACTTGCAATATTTTTGATGTTTGTCTGAAAGATTTTGCCATCCAACTTGTCAAGGACCACATTGACGAAATTATCAAACAAAACCTCACACAGACACAAATTATTTCTTTACAGATGATTCCTATGTCCGAAGGCTCAGTAATTTACACTGCACTGGAAGATTATTTCGAAAGAACCGACAAACTCACAGCCATCAACGGATGGTGCAGATTCTTATTCCATAAATCAGAATGGATACGTTCCCAGGCTTTAGAAAAGCTTAATTCACTGTTAAACTTCAAATTAGATTACAATCCTTCTCAAATCTTCATTGCAGATACTTTAGCTAACGACTTTATGACCAGACAGAAATTGCCAGGCAAAAAGAACGACCCAGCAATGATTTCGAGCTTCATTGATACAATTTTAAATAAAGATCAACAAGAATTCATCAAAACAACAGCATCGAAACGTTTAGTCGATATGTATATGAATCCTTACAACCAAGTACAACAATACACAAAGAAATTGATGAATCTTGAATTTGATAAGTATCCGACATTAATTCATGCTGTTTCAATACGAGATTCGAATTTTCTAATTGATACAGAAGAGAGAATAATCGATTTGCTCTCAAAAATTAATCAGCAAACAATCAACGACTTAATTCAAATTTTGATAAAAACCGTATTTTCTCCAATCATAAAAATAGAAATTGATGGAAGTTGCTTACTTAGATTACCAAGATATTCAGAAAATTTATATAAAATTCCAACGGCTTGCGGTTTTTACGATAAAGAAATTTACAACGGAACCGAAAAAATTCCATTTTCTGAAACAATTAAAGAATGGTGTGAATATAAAAATAAAATTGAAAAACCGTTAACCGATGAAATCGATTTGAGAACTTTGTCAAAATTGTCAACGTCAAATGTAAAATTTGCCATGGATATTGTTGATCAGATAAAAGACGATAAAAATTTATTAGAAGAAAAATTTTCAAAGCTCGGAAAAATTCCCAACGTTTTACATTTTTTGTTGATATTAGTATTGAATACAAAAACATCAACAGATTCAATTTGTGAATTTTGTTTTCATCATTTTTTGGAATCCCCTGAAATTGGATTCAAATTAGCTGAAGCTTTAACAGAATTTGGAGGTTTTATAGAACTTCCTGATACAATTAATGAGCTAATAGAGAATGACGAGACAAGAAGAAGTGCTTTAGCTTTTGTTACTGCTAAATTAAACAAGAAACAAGAGATAAACAAAGTCAATTTAGAAAAAATTGAAAATTTGTTGAAAAATGAGAATTTACCAACAAATGTTTTGAGACAAGTTTTAACAATTATTTCTTCTTTCAATGTAAGAATTCCTGAAGCATCTCTTTTCTTTAATTCCAAAGATCCAGTCATTAAATCGCTTTCTTTCCATTTGGCTAAAATCAACAAAGAAACAGCAAATGAATGTCTTAACATCATTTTTAATGATAATGAAGCTGTCATAACAAGAACAGTTTGTATTAATTTGTTGAGTGAATATTACCAAACGAATGAACCAGAATCAAACAAGTTTATTGATTTGTTTTATCATCAAAAAGGAGAAACATCATTTACATTCTCTCTTTTAAAGTTACTTTGTGTTCCACGGATAAGAGAACAAATCACAATTTATGAAGATTTTATTTTGGAGTTTTTGGATTCAAAAGCTACAGAAAGATTCACAAAAACAGCATTGTATTCTCTTAATTCTCATGAAATACAAAACACACAAATAATTACTTTGCTTGGTAATTTAATTAATGATGACAGATATACAAACATTGTTTTACATCTGTTAACAACTTTTTCTGAAAAAACTTTAGCATTATTTACATCAGAAATGATCTTTTATATAACAGATGCTCTTCAACAGTTTGACATTAATTTATGTTTGATATCCATCAATAAATTGATGAATGCGAATGTTGCATTTCCAGATCAATCAATGATCCATGTTTTGACGCTTTATAAAGCAATTGTTGAACGAAGAAGTCACTCTGAATTACTAAGAACTGTTATGAAACAAATTTTCTTTGTTTCAAAAAGCGCAAGAAATATTGCTTTGAAGAATGGCTTCTTACAAATTTGTTTGTGTGAAATGTTGTATGCTCCAAGTGAACATTTCTACGACATCATTAAAATGGTCTCTGTATTGATCTACAACTACAAGAAAGGACAAGATTACATTCTCAAAGTTTGGGATTTGAAGACTTTGCATTCTCTATTTACTGTTAATCCTGTTATTCTAAACTTCTTCTTGTGCTATGCAAAACAGAATGAAAAGACTCAACAATCATTCTCTCAAGTCTACAACAACACAACACTGTTGGATACAATACTTGAGTCTATAGAAACAGCCAAAAAACCATCAAACATCTATTTACTTTTAGAACTATTTTCAAACATTTTGAACGGAAAAAGCGTTCGAAACAGATTATACATTAACCAAAGATTGATACCTCATTATGTTCAACTTGTTCAAAAATACGCAATGGAAAAGAAAGTTGGTCCATTGGAAGGCTGGTTGAGAGTTTTCATTATGTTGACTTTGCATCCAGATGGAGTTGATAAGTTGTACGAATTCACAAGAGTTCCTGAACTTTTGTTTGTTTTCTTTAAGAGCTGCGCAGAAATCAGAAACAACAGAATATTCTTAACATTCTTAAGGAATCTAATGAACGATCGCAAACATTGGAATTCAGTAAAAGATTCTATTATCAGAGAATGCCAAGATAACCAAGAGACCGAACTTATCAAAATATTTGAAAGTCTTTGCGCCGCTGCTAAAAACAAAGCAGAAGATTAGCTATTATTTTTATTATTATTGTAGAATTTTTTTTGTAAAAGTTTATTGGATATTTATTTTGAAATCATGTGTTTTGTTTTTGAATGTATTATCTTTAAGTATTTGCGCCGAGTAAGCGAAAAATGTACGTTTTATCAAAATTTTATCGAAATATTCCAAAGCCTAGAAATGTCTAAAAAATCTAATTCTACAAAGAGGGTTCTGACAAAATTTTATAATTGACAATAAGATAAATTTTTGAGAATAAAATCAACCGTGCTTCATTGAAAATGTATCGCTAATATTTTTGTGTTAAAATTCATCATCTCAATTCAAATGATACAACAATATAATTTTAGCTCAATTTATATCGATAATTTTCAAAAAATATTATTTTAAAACAAATATAAAAATTAGGATTAGAGCGAAATAGTTTTGTCTCGCCGAATTGTAACAGATTATTTCAGTAGATTGTGTTCACACTGAATCATCTGAAAAGTCTCTAGAAGTTTGCTGAAATTTACCTACGATTAAAGCCAATAAAATTTAAGGCAACTTTTTCAAAAACAATAAAATTTCATCGCCCTTTTAATAGAAATTTTGAATCCATGTTTGTTCATCTCTGTATTGCTATGTACTTGATAAGAAGCAACTAAATATTCAACCGAACATAATGATGCGAATCCAAGTAATTCGACCTGCCTCAATTTTTTATTATTATTTTTTTACTGTCTAATGAATAGCATCAGGATTAAATATGCATGATGTATTTTATTTTTATGAAATCTAGAAGGTTAAAAAAAGATTATCTAAAATGATTTTGTTGTTTGTCAGTATTGTTATTTTCAAATTAAATTAGTTTTGACCATGTTCTCTTTCAATTAAAACAATTTGTTATAATTGAGAAGGCTTATGAAAAGATTGCCTGCAATGATAACAAATCCTGATATTCGTACATTTTACAATGCTTTTCACATCTATTAAATTATATTCTCCTCTCAAAATTGATTGATTGTTGATTTTAATTCAATTACTCTCGGTTTGTAAAGATAAATAAAAATCAATGCTTTTCATACTTGCCGTTTTCTCTGACATACAATGGACATGCAGCTTTAATGGCACAAGAAGTTACACACTCCCAGCAGGTCTCTATGATATCAGAATTCAAGGTGCTCCTGGAGGTGATGGCTGCAATAATGGCGATGTTGTGAGCCGTGGTGGACATGGCGCAAAAGTTAGTGCAAATGTAAGAATACATGGATCCAAAAATGTTATATTTACTATCGGTGGCACACCTGAAAGAAATGATTGCAAGAAAAGGAATAAAGGTGGCATCCCAGGACAGGGCGGTGATGCAGGTGATGATGCTAATGGTGATGGTAATGATTATTCGGGCGGTGGCGGTGGTTATACCGAAATGAAAGATGGTTCGGGTAATACAATCATGCTTGCCGGCGGTGGGTCCGGTGGTTGCGGTACATTCGAAGGTGGATTTGGCGGAACCGTTGGTACAAATGGTGGTTATGTTGATGGAGACCAAGCTCTACCAAATGATCAGCATACCGGTTCAAGACAAGGTGCAACAGGAACAGATCGATATTATATCCCAGGAGCTGGTGGTGGTGGCGGTTACTACGGTGGAAACGGCGGTGACGGTACTGGCAATCTTTTTGCATCTGATAGGAATGCATGTGGTTTCGGTGGCTCATCATACTATGATCTAACAAACGGCGATAACTCATGGTTTGATGGTACAGTGTCTGTTCAAGCAGGAAACCAAGTTGATCAGGAAAGATATTCTCAAGGCTGTTACCAAATCATTACATCTTATCAATGCATTGCAAATTGTTATGACTGCAGAGATGGAAGTACATGCCAGACCTGTGAATCAGGTTATATCAAGTATAATAACAAATGCTATTCAACTTGCCCAGAAAAAACATTTTTTGCATCAGATACATGTGTACAATGCCATTCTAGCTGCCAAACATGTTCAGGGACATCAAGTAACCAATGCACTTCTTGCCCATCAGGAAAGATTTTATGGAATGGACAGTGTTTACCACCAAGAACTATGATTCCTACACCAATGGTCACTCCTATATATACACCATACGATACACCATTCTTAACTGCAATAAAGACACCATATGATACTCCATTTCTGACAAATTCTGAAACTCCCGTCGAAACTCCATATCTAACCGATAAAGAAACACCACTTGAGACAGTTGTTGAAACCCCTGCAATAACAGCCCAGGAAACACCAGTTGAAACACCTTACTTAACTGAAATTGAAACACCTGAAGAAACCGTTTTTGAAACTCCATTTTCAACTTCAGTCGAAACACCATATATGACAGAAGAAGAAACTCCTATCAAAACAGTAGTCGAAACTCCTTTTGAAACAGCCTTCATTACACCGATCTTCACAGAACACGAAACATTAATTGAGACTGCATTTGATACTCCTTTTCTGACAGAAAAAGAAACACCTGCTGTAACCTTTGTTGAAACACCATTTCATACGGCAATAGAAACACCATACTTCACAGCTCATCGAACACCATTTGAAACTGCTTCCGAAACTTTATTTGAATCTCCGTTTTCAACAGCTTTTAGTACACCAATTTTGACTATACGTGAAACTGCTTATGAAACAGTTGTCGAAACCCCATTTTTGACTGAAAAAGAAACAGCAGTTGAAACGATTTTCGCTACAAATTTCGCCACAGCTGAAGAAACCGTAGCACAAACTGTTTTTGAAACCCCATTTTCTACAGCAGTTGAACCAATTGCTTCAGATCCATCTGAGACATTACAAAATACTGAAATAGTTCACACAGATTTCAACGATCCATCAAATCACAGTGGAAATGCCAATGTTAACAGCGGCGAGAATAAAAGAGATTCAACGAATAAAAAGAAGTACATTTATATTGGAATAGGATGTAGTCTTCTATTCATCATCATTGTGATTTGTGCCATTATTGCTGCTGTTCATTTTATGCATAATTCGGATTCAGACTCATCAGAATCGAAATCAGAGGAAATGCAAGTTGAATCAGTAATTTCTACAACAACAACATATCATAATGTAGCAATAACAATAGATAATCCATTATTCACTACTTCAGTTTTGGATGAAACATCGGATGATTTATTCAGACAAGATTTTGAAGAAAATAATTATTTTGTTTTGAATAATTAATCTTTTTGTTTGTTTTCTAAACATGCTATCTTTACTTATCTTTTTCTACCATATTTCAATGCAATTGGGAAGAATAATTAATTATTAAATAATATTTTGATCGCTTGCAAAACTGTGCATTAATATCGATGTATATTCTAAATTTATATACAATATTTCTTATTTCGTTATTTTCACATTTTTTTGAATCATTTTTTGATATCTCCGATTGATTTGCTTATTATAGAACGATTTTATGAATTCCCAAATATCAGTTTCAAATTTGGCTAATTCAAAATTTTTGTGAGTAAAATTTTTGATGGGTTTGAAGATGGTTTGCAAATATTATATAGAGTTAAATTAGCATAAATATTTTTTGTCACATTTTTCATGTTTGAGAACATTTTATCAATTGAGAGCAAAATTTAGTCATTCAAAAATTATCCCAAGAAAAGCAACAAATAGAATAATTTAAAAATTCATTGACGATTGCTGAATGTGAAATAAAATAGTTTACAAAATTGTTATAGACCGAAAATAGATTTTTTCGGTTTTCTCTTCAAATAATTGAAAGAATGATACTATTATATGTTTATTATATTATATAGCATATAATCATGCTATAGCCGAAAATTATAAGTTTTGAGAAGATTGAATATAACACAAATAAATTTGAATGTAAGTTAAATTGCTTGTTGTTTTTAATAGCTATTTAATGAGAAATCCAATATTGCAAAATTCAAATTGAATGATTGAAAGAACAGAAAAAGTCATTCTTTTCAATTTCGAATATGTTTCATTGTATTTATAATTATATGGCAAATAAGATATTTAAACTTGATTTTTGAAGGAAAATTCACAAAATTGAATAAATTCAAATAATTTTTATTCCAAAATAAACTAGTTATTTGAGTTTAATACTAATTATCTATTCAAACTACAAAGTTTGTAATTTAAAATATTTTGTGAGATCAGATTGAATTAATTCAAGGTTCTTTTCAATTAATATTCATGACCATATTACGCATTTTCGAACATTCTAAACCAAATATATAAAAATGGGAGACGAATGTTAAATTTGCTAGACATGGGCATGGGGGAGTTGTCTGCAAAGTTTTAGCCTTTATCTCTAACAAAAAATTAATTTTTAAAAAAATGACCGAATACGTTTCACAGCGAGAAAAAAATAAAAGGCAAGATAGAATTTTCTAGACATAAAGAAGTTGTTTACCGAGTTTTAGCTCTTATCTCTAACAAAAAATTAATTTTAAAAAAATGACCGAATACGTTTCACAGCGAGAAAAAAATAAAAGGCAAGATAGAATTTTCTAGACATAAAGAAGTTGTTTACCGAGTTTTAGCTCTTATCTCTAACAAAAAATTAATTTTTAAAAAAATGACCGAATACGTTTCACAGCGAGAAAAAAAATAAAAGGCAAGATAGAATTTTCTAGACATAAAGAAGTTGTTTACCGAGTTTTAGCTCTTATCTCTAACAAAAATTAATTTTTAAAAAAATGACCGAATACGTTTCACAGCGAGAAAAAAATAAAAGGCAAGATAGAATTTTCTAGACATAAAGAAGTTGTTACCGAGTTTTAGCTCTTATCTCTAACAAAAAATTAATTTTTAAAAAATGACCGAATACGTTTCACAGCGAGAAAAAAATAAAAGGCAAGATAGAATTTTCTAGACATAAAGAAGTTGTTTACCGAGTTTTAGCTCTTACTCTAACAAAAAATTAATTTTTAAAAAAATGACGATACGTTTCACAGCGAGAAAAAAAATAAAAGGCAAGATAGAATTTTCTAGACATAAAGAAGTTGTTTACCGAGTTTTAGCTCTTATCTCTAACAAAAAATTAATTTTTAAAAAAATGACCGAATACGTTTCACAGCGAGAAAAAAAATAAAAGGCAAGATAGAATTTTCTAGACATAAAGAAGTTGTTTACCGAGTTTTAGCTCTTATCTCTAACAAAAAATTAATTTTTAAAAAAATGACCGAATACGTTTCACAGCGAGAAAAAAATAAAAGGCAAGATAGAATTTTCTAGACATAAAGAAGTTGTTTACCGAGTTTTAGCTCTTATCTCTAACAAAAAATTAATTTTTAAAAAAATGACCGAATACGTTTCACAGCGAGAAAAAAATAAAAGGCAAGATAGAATTTTCTAGACATAAAGAAGTTGTTTACCAAGTGTCAGCTGTTACTTCTTCTCAATACTGATATAAAATAAAAATCTTTATTATTTATTTAACCTTTATTGTTTCATTAAACTTCATTTATTTTATATTATAGTTTTATTCTTTTAGCTACTTGTAAAATAATCTAATTTTATATCATCATTTTACCGGATTATTCTTCAGTACATCGATTGTGTATCTAAAATAATATCATTATCCTTATTCTGTTTTTCCAAAATTCTTTTAAATATCTTTTTTGTTTATATACTTTATACTTTTTACTTTTATTTTTTAATTTCAAAAAAAATTTGGTGATTGTTCTATTCTGTTACAATGTGCATTATCATATTCTAATGAATTATTCATTACATACATTTAAAAAAACTTGTTAAAAATGAAATTAAAAAATTATGTTTATTATTACGCTGTGAATGTGTCAACAGCGGTCATGCCTGTATCTGTATCCCATATTTGCCACAACCTTTCTGTATCTGCATTTGTGTATTTCGGTTTCAGCTGATACATTTGATTTGGCGTGTAATTTGTTCCAGTTAATGGATTAATTGGGAGATCTTCATGCGGTGTGTTATTATTGTACTCCCAAATAAAGGCAGGAATAGCCTGAATGCTTTGGCAGCGCTCCAATGTCGGCCAGAATCTCTCAATCTTCCCATTTTGGTAGGGAGAATGAGAGTCTGTATGCCGCCATTGGACGCCCCAAAGATCAAGTAGATCTTGAAAGGCGCCCCTATAGTTAGTTAGTAAACATATCTTGGGTACTGTGGCACTGCGCACCTACTTACCCATTATATGTGAATTTGACACTTTACAAAACCGTTAACGTATATTTTACAACACAAACGACAACACTAACTTAACCTTAAATATTTACAAAACCGCCAACCACTTCACTAACGAACTCACTAATGTAAAAAATAAACGTTCTCACTATCGTTCTCACTAACGACTTCACTAATGTTCTCATAAATTTTCCTCAATATCTTCATCATCAGTGTTAACCCTATTGTAGTCATACTTGAAGCCATAAACTTTCTCTAACTTCTTAACGTACAATTTACATAACTTACCTTCGTCATCGTATGGTTTAATGATATTACTATTTCTATCTTTATACACAGTCAATGAAAAGTCAACTGGTCTCGGATGAAGTGTAAAGAACATGTTATACTCAGGAAGGAAGAATAAATGTTTAAATGTATGTTTGTTATACTGTGGAATTCGAATGAGTTGCTTTTGTTCTGTCATTTACATCCAAATAAAAATTATATAAAAATAAACTTAAAAATTAATGATATCACCACCCTCACACGTATGAAAACATAGCACAAAAATAAATTTAGGTGAAGTGGTGAGATCTCACCTCTTTTTTCACCTGTTTTTTCACCCTGTTGAATTCATTGCTTTATAACTCTCTTCCTTGGTTTCTTTTTAGTTGCTTTCTTTACGTCCGTCTCCAACTTGACTGTCTTTCTTCTTCGGCCGTAATGATACCAGTTACTTCCACCAGTCAATGGGTCAAATGGTCTTTCGTAAGGGTTTCCATACATTCCATAGGGACCATACGGAAGAACTACTGGTGGAGAAGAAACATTTTCTTTAGTTCCATCGACTCTATTTAAATGCATTGTTTCACCTTTCATCTGGTCATTAAAGTCTTTTGCGTGTTTTGCAAACTCATCGTCCTTTCCTAAAGCATTTTCTGACTCAGTCGCAACCAAATTGGATGCTTTATTTATGAGCCCTATTTTATTTAATCTTTAACTTCTTTGCAACCCAGCCTCCAATCTTCCCTTTATTTGCATCTAATGTCTTCGAAACCCTTCCTCCACTCATTTATTTACTGCGTCATGCGTCCATAATGCTTTTGCTCCAAATGCTAATGCTTTTGTTCCCATTGCGCCTAAAGCGCCCAAGCTACCATTTACACCATATAAAATCATCTCTCTTCAATATTATCTCATAAAAGTTCTCGTTACTGGAGAAAGTCAATGAAACATAAGCGTTCTCACGGGCTTCGCCCTCACCGCTTTGCGGTCTATCTAACTTCTTTCTTATATCATCTATACGCTTCAAAATGTCTGAACAATTGCTAACATCTTCTACAACAGTTATTTCATCATGAATGACCTCAAGAACAAGCTCATTTAATATGCTATTAAATCATTTCAATAATGAGTCCATCCTTCCATCTTTAGGTAGCACAACATCTTTCATTGAAGAAGGTCGACAAGTCTTATGTTAAACTTACTGACAAAGTTTGTTATACTATAATGCTTCGGCGGCGAATACATGTATTTGAAAGACATAATATAGATTCTTCAGCAAATTCACTTATACTGGATTTTATAACAATGTTCTCACGAGACCAAATACAGCCAATTGACAATCTTGTAAGCAATCCTGCTGAACCTTCTACTGTAAACGTCGATGGTAACATTCCACGAAGGTCATCTATTTGACATCGTTGAGTCACTGTATTTAAATATTTTCTTAAAGCAATCGTCATTATCTAACCATGCAATAGCTTTGAAGTTTTCATTCGAATATACATCTGCTTCATTAAATGTAAAACCTGACTTCTTTGCAGAGATGACTTTAAAATCTATTGAGTTTGTTTCAAAATTATATGCTATGGTAACTCTGAAGGCATGGATGTCCTTCCGCAGTCAGTTGTTCTCTCACTACCGTTTGAAGCTTTGTGTTAAAAACTTTCATGTCATCTCCTGTGTCTAGGTTCACATACACGGCAACAGGAAAACTATCTTGCTTCTTTGTTTCATCATTATACCTCAAAACATTAAAGTTCTTCAATAATATTGTTCTTCCTGCTGGAATACTTCGAACCTGTCTGATTTCAATAGCTTTCTCACCTCCTACATACTCTACCCAGTGTCTTGGATATTCATAAGTATACTGACTTTCTTGAATTTGGTAGGTTTCATCATAACGTGTTCATAGTATATCTTTATACTCTTGTCAGTTAGACTCGGTGCTATGTTCTGAATATTTCTGACTTGCATTTTTAATGGAGATAAAATGAAGCATTTAATACATGACGTAGATGAAGACATGAATGAAACTACAGACAAACTTAACTCTTCTCTCATTCTTCCTTTCAGTAAGGACTATGAGTTCTGTTCAAATGGTGTGTATTTCTATTGTGGAAAGATGGTTCAGGTAAGACATTTAACCTCATTCGTCATATACTCATAACAGAACGTTTAGGAAATGACTCATATTATGACCAAATCATTATATCAGCAACTTCAGACTCTATGGACTCAACAGCGAAAACATTTATGTCAAAAGTTCAAGCCTCTGTCGTTAAAATTCCAGACATGTGAACTCATTGAATTTCTTCAACGTTACATTCGACGTAAGAGGAAATATTATGCCATCGTTGAATTTATACAGTCAGGAATGCAAAAGACTTCTGAGGAGATGGAAAGAATTATTGACAAACACCACTTACGTCAGTACTCAGGAGTTTACGATATGAAACGACTGACAAACTACATTCTGTCAAACTTTCAAAATACCCTTCAAAAGTATCCTTCAAACACTCTGCTCGTTTGCGACGACTTCGCTGGAAAAGGTTTAGTGTCAAAACCAGACTCACCATTAGCTAACATCAATTCTAGGATTGTCGTTGGCTTCTCTTGAAAGAATTTGTCCAGTGGTGGATACTCTAACTTAACATCTGATGTAGCGTTAGCGTTTGAAGCTGAGTTTAAATTCACGGATTTCAGCTCTGGTTCTGTTCTTTCAAACACTCTGAACTATAGTTCTTTATGACAATATTGTTTGTCGTTCGTGAGTCAACATTTGATGTTGGTTCAATTGGAACATTAACGGCACCACTAAGATGGATTTGCTTCTTATTTCATATAGAATAAAAACCTTTTATATGTATGAAATGAACAATATACTCGACAAGGGTTTGAATGTAAAGCTAACGAATGAAAATATTGTTGAATTCACTGAGACAGGTGCTGTGTATAAAGATGTAGAACTACTGAACAAAAGAGCTAAGGAAGAAGCAGGAACATGAACAAAGGGTGGAAGCCTATAAAAATTTATGTCAACGATGGCTCAGGAGGTTCAAACATAAAGTATGCAGAAAGTTATAGAGTTTATGCTCTCAAAGGTGAAAAGCCTTCATTTAAGAACAGCTACTAACGCATATCCTCAAAAGCTAACGGATGGGGAAGTGGATGATATGAATGACAGCAAAAATATTAACAGAAATGGCGACAGAGATGCATGGAATTTGTTTACCATCAGTCAATTGAAGGTTAAACTTTAAAACAATGTTGGTCGTTCCCATGGAATATTTTTGACTTTAATGGTATTAGTCATGATATGAATCTCAAGGTATGAACGAGGAGAGATGAGAGACTTATATGCTTCCCAAATTTCTTCAAAAGGTAATGTTATACCTGACTGTTTCCAAATGAGTTCAATATCATAACGTGAGAAACCTTGAAAGATAACGAAGTCAGTTATGAGACGTTTTATGTTTAAAGCTAAAAACCTCCATGTTTGCATAAGTATTGCTACAGTAAGTGGTAATGTCTGACTTTA